ACTATCACATTACAACAAAACAAAGGAACATGTCGTGGCAAACATGAGTGTAAAGTAGTTAATTCTCCATGCCAAGTGCAATATGTAACAATCAACCACCCAATGTAAGTCACTCGCCCCCAGATGAAACACCCTGTAAATAAACAGTAACATTCATGATGCAAACAAAAAGGAAATGTGCTGCAATAAATTCAATTATAAATTAAAATGTAGTTCTGCACACTTGTATTGAATATCGCCCCTAAGGGAACATACTGTATCTAAATATAAATAAAAACACGTAAATCGGTCAGTAATTCCTATTGCCAGCACTTGGAACAAAGGAGTACTGTAAATTGGAAAACAACATATTTATGTAGAATCTCTATGCATTAAATTCACAGTAGGACCAGTATAATTAAAAGTGCAATTTGTATCTAGCATGTGTTATGAATCAATGGCAATAATCAATGCTGTACGAGAATAACATGAAATTGGCAAATAATAATCGAACACGATCATATCGTTATTAGATGGATGCAATAGACGTAGAGATAAAAAAACGAGTACATCACCTTTGTAATTGTCGAAGATGCACTCACTATTCACAACGGGAAAATTACTTCTCCTCTCAGCAAAAGCACAAATACCTCTGCCAAATCTCCCCTTTCTTAAACAAGATCCTAGACGAAAATCGTTAATATCGACTGTGCTCCGAGACGTCGCGTCGGTCGATAGGGATCATTAAGTTCCCTCTCATAGCGTAATATTTGACTCTTTTATTGTAAAGTATGGCCCATTTCAATGTGGAGCAGAGAAGGAAAAAAAACACGTGTTCCACGGAAACGAAACAAAACGCAATCTTGACTTTTTTCGTCGCGCCAGGGTCGGTTTCGGGAATATTTAAATCGAACTTTAGCGGGCTAATTCGGTTCCATCACAAACTGGAGTGATACTGATAGTAATCCTAACGGATTGATAATGCTTTTGCCGACGATAAGGTCAACATTCTTGAGAAAGTCGCAATAACGGAAGAGTTTGCTGCGTAAAAGTCCAATCGTGTCTTGGAAGCTGTATGTCGCATTTTTGAGCGAGATCATGGATCCACAATCCACCAGGAATCGAATCGATGTGAGGAAGAGGCGGTTTTCGAGAGGCAACTCACCAAGAGGGCCGGTTTGTCACTTGCCCAAAGTTGTCTTGTCTAGGACACAAGCTTGGTTTCAGCCGTCTCGCCTCGTTCAAATACATTATGATCGTATCCCAAATGTGAAGTTACTCTGTTTTATATGTACTTTTCAGCGAAATTTTCCTTTTCTCGACTGCAGTCATGTTGGTTGTAGGCGCCTTCTATGCCAAATCAAAATTTGATTTTTTTAGTCGTTTGCAACGAGCGTCCTGTATCTGTACCACACTAAATAACAACCCTACTTGAATTACTTATCCCTCGTGCCAAGAAAAATAATATTACAATCATTTAACGTGTTCCATTACATACAACTTTATTATCGCGTAGATTTATTAACCAAGTTCGAAATATTAACACCTCTACTTATTAACCTCTAACATCACTTAATCATTGGTACGCCACTGCTCAGAGAACTAACATTCATTCCACGTATCTATTTTAAATAAAAATCCCAAACAACTTAACAACTTAAAATTATATTAATTACCTTCCTTCTTAATTACCATAACAGACGTCTTTCATACACGCAACGCTATTTAAATTAATAATAATGCTGCCCACCCAAAAGTAGTTGGAGCATTCAAGCACGCTATTAATTAGACGTAATGGTCTAATTAAGGAATTGCGAATTAGATTTAGACGCTTACATGTATATACCATTCCCCTGTTATCGGCGAAAGGGATCTTATCGTTGAAGTCATTGTTTGCATACAACGCACGTAAAATACATAAAAAATACTTTTGACAGAGTAAAACTGTCCATTTTGAAAAGAAATTTCAGTTGATTTGTATTTTAATCACTTTAACCGTACATTTTTTTATGGGATCTGTACTGCAAGGCAAGATCGAGCTCATTTATGTTATATAATTTGGTCTTCAGTTTGTGAATAATTTATAAATGCAGAAAGATTATTTTGTTATTGAAAGGTTGAATAGGCAAGTTGGATAAGAGATGTGCAAGATACGTGTGCGCTTGTTTTAAAAAACATTTCTCTTCAGTTATTATAAAATGCTACATGCAAGATAAGAGCACAATCTAGTTGATGCTGAGAATCCGCCAGGCGAAAATTATGTAAAATCGATTAAAACTAATTAGTAAAGTTTGCATTGTTTTACGTTCATGTAAAAGTGACAATTCAAATTGAAATTAAATGATACAGTTTCTATATCTGGAGAATAGAAAAATTGACTTAACTTTACATTACATTATGGCTCAATGGTAGAGCGTTGAGTTATAAATCCGGAGGTCGGGTGTTCGAGCCTGGGTTGAGGTGAATTTTTCATCTGTGGCAGAGATGGAAATTACCTTAGACCAGTTTCGAGCCTTCTGCCGGCTACTCCGAATTAGGTTTTCCTGCGGTTTTCCTAATTCGTAAGGTAAATACCGGAGTAGTATAGAACAACTTAAGACCTTCTGCGGAGGCACCTCTAAGAAGCATTGTGCGGGTCACTCTGTAATTGGGCGCAAGTCTGTTGAGGGCCCCGAACAAGAGAGGGATAATAAATAAATAAATAAATAAATAAATAAACCATCACTTTCGTAATTTAACTACGAGAATTTATTTAATATTCGTCATTATAAAGTATGCGTTTCAATTAAATTTTAACAAGCTTTTAAACAGTTCAAGTATTGTATTCAAGATCAATTGAAGAGCAATTCCTCACGGCATTGGTAAAGATAAACGGCGAGATAAACTAAGGGCAAAAGCAATTACCTACAGATCACTAGCACGTTTCAGATTTCTAGTATTTGAGATAAACATTTGCGTAGCGATTCTTCGATTTTAGATACAATGCTGATCGTCAGGTAGCAATCTTCAATTCGAACGTGAATGTTTGCATCTCATCCAGAACACGATACTGCTTTAATACGAGGTAGCAATCTTCAATTCGAACGTGAATGTTTGCATCTCATCCAGAACACGATACTGCTTTAATACGATCACCCCATGACCCCAATACTTGTAACGTACGAAGATAAAGATATCAAAAAACTACAATGCCAAAATCAAACCCAATTCCAATTAATTTAGACTTACGTAGCCCATTAATAAATGGGTTTTGGATTGCGATATAGGTAAAACAAAAATAGGTAATATTAAAACATATGGCATAACCTAAAAAGCAAAGCGTTAACGACGAGGAATTCTTTGAAAATATCTACCTAAAGAGGATACAGCCACTCTCCATTCGCGTAAAGACGCTTAAATAATTGATTTAACAATTTTAGCGTAATGACTATGGAATTTGCCAATATATCGACATCTTTCGTAAAAATTGGAACTTGTCATATCAACGACATTCAGTCAGTTACACAAACCAAGAGTACATTCAGCGGAACGTTACGATGATCACTGGCGAATGCACTGGTAATCATTGTGCGCCAATAGCTCACCTAATAATCCGATTTACAGTACCATCTTGAATCCATAGATGAGAAGCTGTTGCACGGAGATTGCTGGAGATTTCAAGATGTAATGTGACTACGCACTTCTCTTATACTGATGTGATCACGTGCAAAAGGCGTGGCGTTACACTGTGACGGTCTTCCAAATTTAAGATCTATCTCCTACCACCGGAAGAATCTTTTATCGTTCACGTTGTTATAGCGTACGCGTACTCTATCTTTATTTCTTACTCTGAGGACCAAATGGCAACCTGTTGAAATTAAAGAGACCCCTAGTGGGAACAATGAATACCGTGAACTGTTTATAATCACCGCCGTGCACCGTCTCGAAATTTATCTAATATTTCGCTCACATAAGGAAGCGCATAGGCATCTCGATCAGTTACTACAATATTATCTTCCTAAAGCCTACCCACAAGCTCTTGAATTATTATCTGTCTTTTTAACCAAAACTATTGGTGAAGCTACGGTAATGTAGAAGGTTCTACAATACCGGCTACCAAGTTCTTCACTTTATAACGTTGTCGACTTGTCGTATAGGCGGTATAGGTAGGTTCTGCAGAAGTTTTTATTTTCTGTTTGACTAAATGTGTGCATTCTACTTCCTATTTCATGTGAGAGCAACTGGACTCAACTGAGGAGTCAAGATCCCTAATTTGCTCAGGGTTTAATTGTCCCGCGTTTTCCGAACACAACGTAATTTCCATTAAAGCATCCCATGCTCAAAATCTGTCTTGAGGACACTGAATACTAAAAACGGAGTGTGACATATTCTGTACAATCCAGCACAAAACAATGCGCACAGTTTGTGCCGACCTAAAGTTGTGAAGTTAGCAGTACATGCAAAAAGTGCAATAATTTGAGAACGAAATGCTTTGCTGTCAGGCTGAATGCGGTACCTTTTGTCCTGTTAACGTCACGTAAATTTAATATTGTGAAACTCTTCACAATCATCATCCAACACGACTTTTGTTTCCATTATAGACATACCTTCTACTTTAGGTATAATTTTTACTGGGATCAAAGAGTACACCACCGCCTGTGTTTCGACGTCTAACTTAAGTTATTTATAATTATTTGCAACGGTAAACAAATAAAAAAAACAGAAATAAAACGAGGTTATTCTCGAAAAAAAAATCGATCGCAAAAAACTTTCAAAGTGACCGCCGGTGCTGTTAATGATGAAGATTGGCACCTCTCATTGTAATAATGATGCAGAAATTTTACAATTTACCTTTCGTTTATATTCAGAATTAACGTTATTATTTTGTCTTTTCCTGACATAATAATAGCATGTTTAATTCTCGTTCTGCCTTGCGGTAACTTTTACGTAATTGTTTGCCGTTTTGAATTTTAATTTGCACAAATGCCGCCCTATAAAGGGTCTTGTTATTCCCGAATTAATGCTAAACTCTACATTTCCAGATGCTCTCGTCGTCGTCGTACAGTAGCGGTTACGGGGAGACTTTTACGAGCCAGCCTCGATCAACCGCAAATAATGTGGCTGCTGCTTCATCAGGTGGAATGGACCTTAGCTATGTCACCGAAAGAATCATAGCCGTATGGTTTCCTTCTTCCGCTTCTCAGAAGTCTTACCGAGAAGGACAAAGGCATGCCGCCCATATGCTGAAAAATAAACACGGAGATAATTACATGGTAAGACTATTTCACTATTAATTAGTGGAATATTGACTGAAATCTGCATTCCGTTTAGGTTTTCAACTTATCGGAACCAAAAAGAGCGCTACGCAACGAACACAAACACGTAAAAGAAGTGGGCTGGCCTCAAAAATTGGCACCGCCACTGGAGAGGCTGTGCAGCATTTGCAAAGAAATCGAATCGTGGTTATCTGGAGATCAGCATAGAATTGCCGTTCTTCACGCATGGTATGTACTTACTTATCGATCTCTGAACAGTTAATTACATTACGTTGCGCAACAGTCTATTACTTTAATACTTGGGCACCGCGCTCTGTAATTTACCAATGACGTTTAATTGGGAAGTACTCTCATTTAAGATGTGACTCGCCCCAATTTTCGTTAAGATAACGCAATATTTATTATTTCTAAACCATAAAATTTTAATTTAATTCGACGTGTACAACGCCTTGTACTCACGCTGTCGCTATACTCGCTTATTCAATAAATGGAATGCCGTCGAATTACTTCCACATTATCGTGACATTAATACCATCTTTAGTTTTAACTGCCGTCAACCAAATTCTTTTTGAACTTAACGAACAGTCAAAAATGACACATGTACGCTTCGTGGAAGAAAATGTGCAATTAACATTGCTTTCTCTTAATTTGGCAATGGACCGATCACAGACGTCAATCAACGTAGTGTTTCTTTCTTGCATCCGATGCAGTAGAATTCTTGGGGACTACTTTAATTGTATAAGAAAATGTTTGATTGCATTTTTCCACAAATGGGAAACGTAGCTTTTACTGGAAATAAAATTGATGTGTTGCAATAGAGTATGACAAAATACATGTAGTCTATTCCTCCAATTCTCTATTATATGTTTAAAACTAAGTTTTTAATGGAATAGCCCACTCAACGAAGCAAAAATAGAGGAAATAATTCGTGTAAAAGTGAATTTTGGTATAGTTGTAGACAAAGGTGTCTTAAAAAACATATTAAACGTACTTATGGATGGGGGTGGAACTAACGGCGAGGGAGTTGTAAAATGTAGATAAAGGACCCTTTTTTTAGTTTGTTGGTGTAGTGTAGATAATGTAATATATAATGTAGTATGGGGAGGGTTTGAACTCTGTGATCTCCCTCTTACTTACGTGCTTGAGCCAGATTGTTCCAGTAGAGTTGGAGAACTCCGCTCGTTCAGTGACTTATTAATACACAACTGTAACATCAATGCGCCCCCCCCCCCCCTTAAATATCCATTTTAATATTGCCCTTGTGAAAAAGTGTATAGAAACCTTTGTTGTTTGGGACAATTGCAATGTTATTAAGTAATAAGAACATTTTTTTTTCTATGGGCTTACCGGTTTACGAGTTATTTAAAAAAACTTAAAAAAGGGCCGTTACATCCCTCTCCCTTTTTAATTATTTATTATGACCCACCCCATCATCAGTTTACGTTTAATATGTGTTTAAGAACAACCTTCAACCTAAACTTTGATTGTCTTGAAGTGCAACCACTTATTTACCCCTATTTAACAGTTTTTGTCTTCGTTGAGTGTAATAATTTAATAAACGTCACACGAAATGGAACCACTGTACTGAATTAGTTAGTAAATTGCATTCTACAATATTCCTAATTAAAAATCTAAAACATGTGCTAACGCTACCACAAATAATAAACCTCTACCACAGCGAAATATCCTCTCGCTTGAGATACGGAATTTGTTATTGGGGTCATTCATCGTTCCCTAGTAAGGTATTAGTTGCCCAAAAAAAGATTGTAAGGCAAATTGCTGGCGTTAGTTGTACAACGTCATGTAGACTAATTTTTAAACATTTTCAAATATTAACATTACCAAGTATGCTAATATATGAACTTAGTATCTATGTCTTTGCAAACAAGAATACTCACACCTTCAACTCGGATATTCACAACCACAACACCAGGACAAAAGACAACCTGTATCTCCCGAAAGCAACATTAAAAGTATCGCAACATTCTCCTGCGTTCCTGGGTACACAAATATATAATACTCTACCGCAGTGTATAAAGAGCTCCTGTAACTTGCATCAATTTAAATCCCAACTTAAAAATTACTTAAATGAACATTGTTTTTACTCCATCGCCGAATATTTAAAATTTTGCAATTAATGTTGGATTAACAATGACACTAGATTAAAGTTTAATAAAAAAGATTACAACTGAGAAAACTACAATCTTACTTGTAAATAATAGAAAGTTTTGCATGGAAAGTGAACAGTTGCATTAAACCGAAGTGCAGGCCAGCCAACTTAAGAAAAAAGCAAAAGCAAAAGGTTAACCAACACAAGGATATTTTGTATTTTTAACACCAATGAAAACTGTCTGTTGGAATTGTCTATTTATGTGTCTATGTTTGTAATACATACTGCCATGACGCTTCCTATACAATATCGTTAATTGTCCAAAGGAATTATAAATAAATCAAATCAAATCAAATGCCAATAAAGGTGGCCTGGGACATATTTATCATAAGAATAACTATTTGTTACTTGGTTCGTACCCCCACACCGCAGACGAAACCTTAAAACCAGCGAGTAGTTTTTATAATCGTAAAGGACGTAAGGTATGGCGATTCTCAAGAAGTGTACAGGGTGCCCAGAACAACTGGGATTGAATAGGAAACTTTGATTATTACTAATGTTGTGAGAAGCGAATTTTGCAATTTTGTAATATTTGCGAGCATATTCGGAAATATTCGCATTGCTAAGAACGAATATTCGCACACTGGAAATTTAAGCGAATACTTTCCATAAATTTTCGATTTTACGAGGTTACACGAACGTTAACAAGTATACGTGCAGTCGTTCCTCTCAGAAAAGTTCTTCCGAAAGCCAAATAAAATTCCAAATAAAAATTAAATATCTCCTTAGTTGATAATTAAGTTAATTATAACATTTTGTCATTTCGATAGAAAGGCAAAATTAAATTCAAGGTGGCGGTTACTAAATATCAACTTTCTGGTTGCCTAGATGAAATAACCTATGATAGAGCAAAGAATATTAGTAAAATTTATGCTCTTTACTTTTTATTAAGTATGTATATGCTAATTAATTTAATAATTAATTAGTCGATCATACGCTATCACCCTTTGGTCGGTAAAAAAATAATAAAAAAATTAACAATTCAATATCACACAATTCATTAACGTTTTTAATAATAGGCGCAATATTGAATGTATAGATTTTTTAAAATCCCGATTTCACCAAAGAAATGTTCTCTGTATTTATGGAAATTTTTAAGAAAACACGCGAAATATCATAAACCGTTTTTATTTTTTAGGGTTAAATGCAAAACTTTATTATAAAAAGTTTCAGTGCCTTGGAAGAACCAACTGACACTTTATACAAAACTTTAAACAATTCTACTAAAGATACCAAACCAACGACAAAGGTTAAAAAAGCCTTTTTTTTGGGTAGATTGTATCCTTTCAACCCGAAACACCATTAAAGAGACCATTAAGCAGCCCAACGTCTTATTGAAAACAATTAAGGGATTATAATAAACTCTAATTTGTATACAATTGTTGAATATTTTCTTTTATATTTGAAATATTAAAAATTCTCTTATCTTTTTAATTGCGTCTATAGGTTTTACAGTATTGTTAGTTTCCAGTTCCAGTGCTGTCATAGGCACTGATTGTGGATACAAAGGGGTTCGAATCCTATGGGTTGGTTGAACGACAAGAGTTACTATCAGCTAGTTTCTCGCCTGCTATAAAATAGATATTAAAATCAAATAAAGTTAAATGAAATTAAATAAAATAAAATTCAATTAAATTAAATTAAATTAAACATTTGAAATTAGCACTTGGCGAGTACCGACAGAAGTGATTACTACTTTCTCATTATAGAAAAAAAACGAGCGCTCAAGGGGTTCGAAACTGCGTAAACTATAAGCGGCGATTTTGCGGCTACGCTACGCACTGTCCCAATAAATACTGCTGTGGCCCCACATTGGGCGCCAAATAAATATATATAATAATATATAATAAATATGCTGTATGCAATGGTATGAGGTACACTACTCCCAAAACACCTGTCCAACAAGCTCAAAATAAATTAAAATTGAAATATTCCGACATCTGTTAGAAAGAAAAATCCGAATCTTGACTGAATTTACTAATTTGGGAGACTCCACATTCCAAATAAGTAGGTATTAAGGGAATTTTTATCAACAACTGAAATAAATTTTGTATACTCAGAGAAAAATCTGACATAATGACCATGCAGTAGAATGGATTCGAATAAACACATTTAATTGATTGACAATGACAAAAATTAGATGGAAATAAAAACAAAATTCCTGAAATAAAGAGAAGCTCACAAAGCTTGTTTTACATGGTACCCCGTACGCAAAAGGTCCATAAATACAAAATTTAAAAAAATAAAATCTTCAAATTAGTTACAATTTTTTTTTTCTTTTAATAATCCTAAAATTGGTCGTGAACAGGTTTGCGATATTCAAACACACCTAACTCTCAACACAAACGCAGACAGCTTTAGAACTTCAGTTAACTTTCTTTTGCACATAAACATTATGAAAAGGACTATTAGCGTCTTCAAGCAATCAAATCGGGTGGACAGCCCGAATAACTAATTAGCGTAAAGAGACGTACACTATTTTCCAAACGTCGCAAGCCAGCAGCGTTAGCAGTCCCGTTTTTTCGTTGTCTGCAGTATTTAACGAAACACCACCTCCATCAAACATTCCAATGACATATGTCATTCTTATTCAAAATGGGACGCGGTGCACGAAATAAAATGTAGTTCAGAACAGAATACAATATTGTTTCCTTGGACACGACGAGAGAACCTAAGCTAGTTATTTTGGATGTCTACAAATACGAAACTTGAAATGAAGGTGTCAGTTTTTGTCATATTTTCTCTACCACCCAAATTTTTGAACTTTTTGTGACAATTACCTTATATTTTATGTGGTGCGCTGATGTTAGAGCATCGTAGCGTCATAAACTTTCTGACAAAACAAGGACATCAGCGAAGAACGATTAGCAAAAACATGCTTGCTGTGTATGGGAATGATGTCCCATTGTATTATGTGGTAAAAAATTATGAGCTAAACAGTTTCGGTGTGGGAATTCATTGAAGATGACTCTAACAGTGACAGACCAAGAACTGCAACAAACTATGAAATGGTTGCAAAAGTTGAAGCCATGGTTCTCGAACATCGTCGTGTCGAGGTTTGCACTATCAATATGACATTGGGAATATTCGAACCTAGCGTGTTAACCAAAATTCACGACCATTTGAACAAGCAAGGTGTCAGCGCGGTGGATTCCCCGCAAAAAGATGCGTTTGACGTTTTGATTCGGATGATTCCTTAAAAGCTGCTATTAACAACTTGTTTACAGACAAGGAAAAAATGATTTTTTCCAACGATATTAGCTCGTTAAAAGACGAATGACTTAACTGCATCAATGATAAGAAAGACTTTATTAAAAAATAAAATAAAATTGGGATCGGATCATACCATTTTCTGCAAATAAATGTACGGTATGGCTTACAGTAATTAGCTGACTAATCAAAGTTCAAAGAACTCTTTGTAAATTTGTACGCTAAAACACATTGTTATTAATAAAACAGTGGGGCAAGTTCTCCAATGATAGTTTTAGTTTATGCATTGCACAGACAAACGTGCTTGAATGCGTCCAAGTCTCTCGCAAGACATACTAAACCGCTCAAAAAAAGTATAATTGGCAATAATGGAAAACGCGACCCAATATTATGACTGATCAATCAAAAGCAATTTGGCCACACCGTCTAAATCTCAATTCGTTGTGACTATTGAAATTAGTCCTTCGAGTCTTGTCTGCAGTCTCTTCCAACTTCCCAAAATTCTTAAGCGTAATGGATAATTTTTGCCCCAAATTAAGAAACGTAGTTTCCGAATTTCCACCTTATACCCTTCAAACTTGCGCAGTTTGTTTCAAATTGAATAATAAAAGTTGCGTTGATTTATTTGTTCTTTCGACTTTCAAGCAAATTACCCCTTTGCCTTCGCATAAATTTGTGCGCTCACGGATAAGCAAGAGTAAACTTTTTGGCGCGTCACAATCTTTGCATTGAAATAAGGTCATAAACTAACGTAATATTCGATTTTTCAGTGGCAGTAAAGACAAGTTGGGTGTCGTGGTGGCGGCTTACATGCATTATTCAAGCATATGCGGAACGGCGGATCAGGCTTTGGATCGTTTTTCAATGCGACGTTTTCTGGAGGATAACATAGGGCCGTTGCAGACGCCATCAAACCGAAGGTATGCCTATTTGTTTCATTTTGTAACGTGACTCAATAGGTGTTTTGCAGATACGTCGATTACTTTGCGGGCTTACTTTCCCACAATATTAAAGTGAATGCCGCCCCTTTGTATTTGACACATGTAACCGTTTTGGGAGCGCCGTCGTTTCAGCAGGGCGGATGTAGGGCATTCCTAAAGCTATACGAAGGACTTACACCTGTATACACATCAGGTAATTTTGAAGAGTTAGAAATGCGTGCGTGGATATAAGCGTTTAGTGCCTTCAAGCGATTCTGGAAATATGATCTTATAAACGGAAAGTTAATGCTATTCCTGTTATAAAATCAAATACCATGAAAGTACACGCATACTTGTGCAGACATACGATACTTTTCTTAAGCCAGACATAATTCAATACATACGCAACTACTTGTAGAAGAACGGAATGCGATAATGTGCTTCTTTTTTCCGTCTTTGAATACTGCCGTTAATTTTTGCGACTTCCTTTAGGTGTCTACAGCGTGGTGAGTGGTGTCAAACAGTTCACAGTAAACCTGGCAGCTGAGAGAAGACCCGGTCTGCAATTACGGGGAGACATTTTAGTAAAATGCTATCATCGAGGGCCCTCAGATCGTGAAACAATCTTCGCTTGCCAATTTCACACGTGCGCAGTTGCTGACAACACTCTCAGTTTTACAAGGCAAGAATTGGACAATGCGTGTAATGGTAAGTGCCTCATCTTCCATTCCGATGTAGACAAGCGAATTATTTCAGATCCAAGGTTTCCGCCGGATGGTGCTGTAGAATTACACTTTTGCGCTGGTCCCGAAGGGCGTATGTCTGCACCCGCCCCAACACCAGCAGTACCTGTGACTCTTACAGAAGATCCAGTGACACGTGCAGACAGTCCTTTGGAACTGGATGATTCGAATGACGAATCCGATGGAGGTACGCGCTTAGCATTTCACAACGTGCAGTGCATGGCTATTAAAAAATGGTTGGATAGCGCACAATTAAACTTAATAATACTCTCTTTGCATAAATCTTCTTGACCATTAAGACTTTAATTTGTATCAATTTACATGCACTTAAATAATGCCATGATTTTATTAACGGTGTGAGATTTCACACATGAATGGCCAGTGGACGTATACATTACGCTCTCTTGCTTTCCCAGTGTCCAAAGGTAATAGTAGAAGATTGCCGGCGACACTATTCTCCTATTCCTTGTCATACTTTGCATTTTACTACCTTATAATTACATGTCATTTCATCACTGTGGAAATACACTCTGTAACATTTACGCACAAATGTGAAAATGGTTGTAAACAAGTTCATCTGGAAAAACGTGTACTCGTACTTTTCTCTATAGAAATATTGAAATGGTATTGATTGTGAAGATTTTGATACGACTTATGTAAACTTTCGGGCATTTATGTTTAGTAGAAAAAGAACTGATAACTGTAATTGAAACGTTCATGCAGCTTATGGTGTTCCATTTGCAGGCGATAAGATTGCAAAAACAGTTCAGCACTATATAATACGATTTAGGTGTAGTAGCAGTGTAGTTCCAGAGTTTTAACAGAAAGTAACCGTAAATGGCAGAAAACTGCAGGAAGGAAACCTGCATTGTAGGAATAAGGCCCAGTTTTCTCTTCTCTCTGGCCAGTTGAACGCGATCGGTGGTAACGTCAGGACGGCGGCTGCATGGTCTCTCTAGTACCTACACAAGCTCTTCTTCGTGCATTTACCTTGTCTTTCGCTACATTGTCTTAGTAGTATTCCTATGCGCTCCTCGATTTCTTTATTAAAGCTCATTTTTTGACTTGTAACCGTCGACGTCTATCCGCTACTATGGCCCAAAATGATCCTGATTGACGCGGACGGCGAGTGACTTTCGGCGATTATAATAAACGCTGCCCGAGTGCCCGCGATGGTTTTGGGAGGCGCGAAGCGCTGTTAAGGGGTCGCGAGATCCCTGATGTGTTGGAGGCAAATATTTACACTTATATTAGGTATTTTTGTGTAACATTGTATTTGGCCAATTCTTACAAAAATAAGTATCTACAATTCAGTAAATCCGCGTTTTTTATTCTGATGAAAGCACCGATGTTGCACAGTGTTGCCAGATGATAGCCTATTTGCGATTTATGATAGTGCTATAAAAGAAGAGATCTCAAATGAACTAAAAACGACCTCAAAAGCCGTTGATATGGCTGCAATATCCGACTTGATTGAAAAACATAATATTTTATGGGTCATACATAACACCGTCAGAAATTTGAGAAAAATTCACCAAGGTTTTGTTAAAATTATGTTTTGATATCTTTGAAAATAAATGGACGGAGATGTTCAAAGGGAAAAATAATCACCATAAAATTCTGCATAACTGCCCATTTAAGCGCTTTCCGAATCCCCGTAGTGAAAATGAAAAAAAAACTTACTCTGTAATTTTTTTAATAAATACATTTGTAGTAACAGCAGTTTTTATTTTTTAAACGGGATAGATGGCGTGAGCAACTTTACTTTTATGAAAGGGATGGAAATAAGTTTGGGAACCACTGCTACAAACAATTTGATCGCCGCTCACGGCGCGCCCGTCGTCATTTGCGGTCCTCGGAGTGCCTACCTCTTCTTCGGATAAAGTCCATGAATACCATTATTGGCGCGAATAGACTGGCAAGGTTTTTCACGCAAGTTGCTGTCTGGTAGCACTGTCGAGTGACAATGTTACTCTTACATACGGTCGAAAATTAAGAACCCATCTGAATTTGTGAGAAAACTACCCCGGAGCATGGCCGTATCTGGCTGCGCACTTGACGGGAGTTCAAATTTGTGCCCCACTCCCCACACCTGGCAATGGGTGGTATTAAATACCCCCCAACAAATACGCAAGGACCAGGAAGTCTTTCCCCGAAAATTTTCTAAAATTAACAGCTTTTTGATCCGAGAGTTTCGCTTTTTTTAAACGTGAAGAAAAGATTACAAAATACAGTGTGGTCAAAATAAGAATAAACATCATGGGGAAATGGGAAACCATAAGAAATACACAGTCGGTAAAATTAGAAAGAGTTGCACTATTTAGGACTGCCGATCCGAAATTCCGATCAGTTCCGAAGATATTCGAAAAAAAATGAAATTAACATTATCTTACAAATCAAATTGTTGATGGTTTCTTTAAGACGCCAATTGTACAGCTTAAAGAGTTCCGATGAGGTAGTGGTATTTGTTTTTTGATATCTTTTGAAACAGGCCCCGAAAAAATAAAAACAAGTACCTATGGTTAATTTCGTTTTTTTTCGAATATCTTCCGAACTTCGGAATTTAGAAATTTTTTAAATATCATTTTACTTGCTTGCTGTTCCTTCTATCTTGGACATACTGTATATGTTAAAGGAGACAAGGGAGGAGAGAAGGGAGAGGGGTGGAGATGAACGTAATATCACTTTGTAACTACCCAACTAGACCGCTCACAGTCACATTACGTACAGTAACTTTTAACAATCTGGAATAACGTTTATTTAAATAACGTGAAATCTTAGTCCTAATACACTAATCTAAAAAAAAATTTCATGGTCAATTTTGCGCCCCCGGTAGCTGCGTCCATCTTTCCACCGCCTAGATACGGCCTTGTCCCGGTGGTCCCGTATATATTGTAGGTACATACTATATCCTTTTTTCTATTTCGGTGTCACAATGATGATTTTGTACAACTGTTGTACAAAGACAGTGATTGTAGTCGTTTTTTTTTGGTAACTCATCTCTTAAGTTGGCAGTTACTAGTTAGTACAAGTAGGTACTTCGTTGGGTACTTCCATGTTTGAACTTCAAAATGTCAGTCTTACTACGCTGCCAACCTAAAACTTAACGGCATAAAAAGTGTTCCCAACATAAAACATGTTAGTTCTAATGTTCCCTATGGTTTCTGATAATGATTTTTTTAATTAAATTAAAGCACCGAAATAGAAAAAATAGTATGAAAAACGCGTGTTACAATGCTTTATTGTAATACTCCTATCTTGCGGGCACTCGTGGCTACGCGAAGATAGTCGTATTACAATAGGTCGCATTGTAACACTTGTCTTTCAATATACTATTCCATTAGCAAGTTTTACTGTAGCAAGTTGCTGGCGCGATAATTGTAGCAAGTTGACTTACGGCTTCGAGTGGTTTTTATAGCTGGACAATATTTTCAGAGAGGAACTTGTGCGAGAAAACTTGCCAGTCTATTCGCACTTTAAGATCGCTTTTACGCGGAGATAATGTCTCCATGGCCCGAGGGCCGAGATAGTCTGTCGTCAGAATTTCTGTCAAATACACTTCGCAGATTTGGGGCATTCTAAGCTTCTCTTTCGCAGTGAAGTACTTTTTCCGCGATGCAGTGGTGGGTTAATGATAAACTCCCGTGTAAACAGTTCCAATGAACCAATAGCGCATCAGTCCCCCTAAATCCCAAACTCACTGGGCGACTAGGAGTAGCGAGGAACCGAAATTTAGTCGCCGAGACACTGTATGCAGGAAGTATACGTGTGTAAACGGCTCCATAAGACGCAATGTTTTGGGTGTATTCGAGATGCCGGTATCCGGGCGACTGTATCCTTGTGTAAAAGCGGTGCTACAAGCCTCTAGCCTCAGCACAGCAATTTTCATTTTTATAGAATGGAAGCCTTGTTGATTGGAACGTTTATTTGTACAAACTGCTCGGAATTAACTAATTTCCTAATATGTATATTGTCATACAAAGTAAGGTATCGTATATCTAGGAGTGACCATCTTTGTTTTCGGACAAAAGAAGAACGGTACAGTAAAACGGTTTTGCTCCACTCTCAAAAGTGTACACATTTGTTCCTTCATATTAAATTTGTTTTTTGGTGCAAATCTAGAATCTAGTTCAACGGAAATCGAAAAAAAATTGTTTACAGTTTACCATCCGAATACAAATTTAACGTAAATTTATAGAAAATAGGTCATGGAAGAACTATATTAAGATCCAGTTTCAGTTAAAAGTACACGAATATTCATCCCTAGCGGCTAATTTTGAACTTTTTCAATTGGTACAATATAAGGATTTAAGTTGCAGTAGGTATTGCAAAACAGTTTGAATACCTTCGAAAGAAAATCGTCTTTTTTTGTGTCGAATAAATTGCGCTACAAAAAGAGCACAGAAAGCTGTCATTTCTTCCTTTCTCTAAATTATGTTCATTTTTTGTTCATAACACGACAAAGGAAAACCTAGTGCCATAAAAGGTCAGTAACGCCAGGAAGGGATGTAGGATGCTGTGGACCAATCGTTGAGCTTGATGCTTGCGTTCTAGTTTAGGTCTAGGTTGTGCAAGGTGCTATCACTGCTTTACTGTTCCTTAATTCGTACAAAGTTTGAGTATGTCCCAATGGTGTTGCAACATGAAGACACTAGGACAATTGTGACCGTTGTGACCACAAATAAATCATCATCAACATGCTTTCCGGCAACCTTTTCTGGTTTCTGATACTACCGTTCTTGGACGCTTGGATGTGTTCTCCAGAGCTTTGAATAGCTTTACAGTGCAATGAAACACTTCTAGGTGCTTTCCAGAGCACGCTCTCAAATACTTTTAGGCCTTTTCCAGGTTTTTTAAACTTCATTCGAAGCTTGCTAGACTGTCAGAATTTTTGGAGCTCTTTTCAGAGTTTTATGGATCTTTTCCACACATCTACACCCTAACCAGATTCTTCTATAACCTTTCCAGGTCAAACAAAGCCTTCTAATCTAAATGCTTTCCAAGCCTTGTGAAAGCTTCCCACAATATTCAAAGGCTTACCAAAAGAATAAGAATATTCCAAGGATCTCCTGAACCTTATATCGCCTCCCTTTCTCTAAGATATCAAAAACAACGAAGCCCCTAAAGAACCGACAAAACTAATAGACTTTAAATGCTCTAAACGCTTCAAATCGCTCTTAAAGTTCGTAGATGACTCGTGAAGATTCTTGGAAACTGAGAAATAAACAAAAATAGTTTTTAACTTTTAAGGATTTCAAAAATTCTCAAAATAAAATAAAAAACACAAAAAAATATCGAAATCTAAA